GATTTCCATTTTTCTCATTCTTTTTCTTCGTTACCTACCTTTTTGAGGAACATACTAACATACTAAGCTAGTGGTTTATTTGGGAGCATAAACATCTAAGCCACAATTGTTTTTTCTACCGATGGAATTTATTTCATAAATTAAAGATAATTTTTCCCTTTATATCACTTATTGACAATTAACTTAATCTTCTCTTTAATTTAATAAAAAGTTAGATACAATATTAAGTGCGCATGGAATGCTCAACAATCAAGGATAAATCTATGGATTTACTTAGAGGGTCTGAAACAGTGAAAATTTTATTGGTGCTGGCATGTCGAGATACCATGTGACATGCTTTCTCTTTAGTAGAACAAGTTGATGATAATACTTCTACATTTCATCAATTGCAAAATCAATTCAAAATGCCAACGAAAGGATTGCAAGGCAGCAAAAATAACAATAAGTGATAAGACAACAAACAATTAATTAATGAGCAGACAAGACAAGAAAATTCAATTATTTTATTTTAATATAAATTATTATTAATACACCGGAAAGAATAGTGATGGCAAGCATTGCACTGGCTAAATGCTATGTATCAATGTGTAATATAACAATAGCAATTAACAATATAGTATCGAGCAACCAGCAATCAGAAACACAATTGATATGATGATCTTTATATTGGTTGCCTACAATTTCAATGAGTTGGGGTTACAAGAACATTCATTGATATGATAAATGTCGAAATGCGAATAGAAATGGAAAACTATTCGAAAAAAATTTGAAATTTTAGAAAATAAAAACAAAATTAGGCATAATGTAAAGAAAAAATGTAGTTATATTATGTGAACAGAAATACAATATGGGAAGTGTTAGTCCTAGGTTGCATGATTGCATATGCCAGGATATTTTAATTTTAAAAATCGATTAGTAAACTCATTTTGTCCTTCTATTGGCCGGTGGATCCAAGTCAAGGTCAATTATAATTTTCTGTAACAAATATAAACATGCATGTATGCATAATTCAGTCAAGTTCAACGCCAACTTGCTCAGAAAAGCAATCCTTCAAAAAGAACAAATTGGATTAGGTAAAGCTTTCTTTAAGATTTAGCTATACCATGTGCAATAATTTGTTGACAAACAGAAGAAAGTGCACACTGAATCGTACTAGCTAGCTACAATTTCTAACATGTTGGCACATTATACCATTAGTTTACGGTTTCGTGGATAAAGTTACTTTGTCAAAAGGATTTGATAGAAAATTTGACATAATTATATGTGACAGTAAATGATTGAATGAAAAATTTATTTTATTTTAAACAGTCCAATGATAAAATGTTACGTAATATTATGTTAAGTTTTATGTCAATATTGATGTTCACGTAGCATGACTGATGGTTTCAAATTCCAATAGAAATTAATCCCCTATGAGATGATGAAATCAAATATAATAAGTATTTTGAACCAAAAAGACATTGTTATAAATGGCTTACATCATCAAAAATTTGTCACCATAGACGTATGCTTTAATGGCCCTCCACGCCTGCTTCCCTTGTATCTTCTTGGATGATTTGGTAATGTCAATTACACTAATCCTCATTGCGTGATCATATTAATTTGCAATTTGCACCACTTTTCTTCCTTTATTTATATATATATTTTTTTTAACTTATTGAAGTAGGTCAATTAATTTCGCAATCTGTCTTGAAGCCGAGAGATAAACTAAGTCGAACTCACAAGACTCGAGCTCCAATATTTAATATAATTGATAATTATCTCAACTAAATGGTTAATGAATGCCCTTTTTTGCAAGTACATGATCTAAATCTATTTCGTTCAAATTAAAAAAAAAAAGCATCGAGATCAATCTTATAATCAAGATCTCACTTATTGGCACCTCAAAGAACTTGAGTTAGCAATTAAAAGAACATTATGTGATCAAGATTCAGGTGACTCATTCTATGATCAATTAAAATTTTTATTTCAAACGAACACGAATATTCATCTACTCGGTCTCATTCAATACGCACTAAGTAAATCGTTGTTCTTAGGATTTTGCTGAATGTACGACATTTGCTGTACAGCAGTATTTACAGCCCTCATCCAAAGATAGGGTTCGCAATTATTTTAATCGTGGACCACACCCGATACATGTGTGTGTGTGAACAATGCTGTACACATAGCACGTTCCTTGTTCTTATTCTTCATATCATAGACAAAATGCTTATCAATAGATTATTCTACATGTACAACAGGGCGCAATGTCCAAGTGGCATTTCATCGTTGGCGGGTAGAAAAATCATTATGTATACGATTGATATATTTTTAATCAAATTTCAAATTGTAACTTAATATACTCGCCCATCAAGCATACAATTTATAACATTTCATGAAACATTAAACCAACATATACAATGTCGTTTATCTGGCCTCTTTATTTCCAACCCATTTCCATACAATGTTTTAGAGCTTCAGAAGAAAGATGATTATGATCTCGTGTCATTATCCAATGGTTGTTTTCTCAAATTTATAATTTTCTCAATTCTGATTTCCCTCTCATCAGGCAGCAATTAAAAATAAATAGGTAAAATTTGTTATAAAATAACGAGAACTATTCATTACAAACTAATTTAGCAGAATATTGTCATACTCAAATACAGCTGGATCATATTTCAATAATTGATGCCCTAAATCTTTTCCCTCTCCACTTTATTCCTATTGGCTGCTTGATTCAAGTCAATGTCAATGCCAATTCTAATTATCCAGTAACATAATGAATTTGAACATCACCGTTCACACTAGAAAAATTAAAAAATTAATGACAGCCCATCAAAGACATTGGACAAATGCACGACTGTTAAGGTTATTTATTTGGAATAAATTAATTTCAATGTTCAGACTTCAAAATGTTTTTTTTTTCCCGAATTAAGCTACTATGCCAGAAAATGGTTGACATAATGTTTGACACTCTCTCACATGTGAGTGGGTCCCGCGTGAATAAAAAGTCCAAAAAAAGAACGCGAGTCCCTCCATTGTGAGGGTATGTTATCCATTATGTCAAAAAAATTCGGTCACTGTAGCATGATTGTTTTATCCCCCCACCAATGGAGACTAACGGACAGACGATGGATTTGCATATAAAAAAAGCAGCGAGTTTCCCATCTTTGCGCGTGTCTGAAAGCTCTGCATTGCCAAGTTTGAAAGTAAGAACAGAAATTACTATTATTACCAACTTGAAATAAAGCTTCTTTTTTTTTTTAATTAATAATTGGGAATAAAGTATCTGTTGAGAATCTACTTATACATGCACAGCGAAAAATTAAAATTATTTCGATTCCCACCGAGGATCCCTTTATGTTTAGATAGAAATCGTGATAAAGATTGTACCTTTGACGAATTCTGCAAACCTTTTGCTTTCTTTTCGTTCCAACAATCTTGATTCGCCACCCACAGCTGTCCAATTGTTCAGCCTCCAACGGTGATCCACACAAAGAATAAGATTACAGCTATCAGGATTTTCTCTCTTGTGTCAGCAAGAATAATGAAAACCATATGGATCTCAAACTCTAGCCATGTATTTATATAAATTCAAACGGGCTTGGCCCGTTCCAGTCCAATATTTAATTAATCCATTTAATTAAATCCGGTCCGTGAATTAATTAATTCAACAATATAAATAACAAATTCAATTAATTAATTTATCCAACGATTGTTAAATTAACTAATTGGCAATTTGCAATCTTCCAATTTTCTTTTGTGTGCGACCCATTAGGTTCCCGACCACGATGCCTAACAACGTGAAATATTATTTTAATCTAATGAAAATTGATAAATTAAAACACCCTTTTAATTTATCGTCAATTCACACTCGCCGTCCCTGATTGACATCTAGCAATGTGTCAGGGCATTACATGTGACGGGAAATGTCACGTGGTATGACAAAATCAGATTCGTTCGTTTATCGTGAAACTATAATCCCTTCGTCAATATGATCTGATCAATTACGAGATATGGAATTGTGTTAATTCCGAATTTCGATCATATCTTTCACTCCACTATTAAGTCAGTATAAGTCGAAAACTCCTTTTCGACTCGAAGTTTTCGACTTATGAGTACACCTTGACCAAGAATTTCGTTATCGACTTAATTGAATGAAACGCAGATCATAATCTCCTACTATCTAAGAGTGACGAATCATTTATTGATCAATCACAACCTTCATACGATTCTTGACATACCCGAACGATGTCGTATTAGCGGCCCTTTGCAGAGCAACATCCAACACCGCCAAAGTATGACTGTCCTCATATAAGGTACCATGACGACCTCAAATCTAAGGACCAATTCCACTACCGAACGTTAGAGATTAACCACTGACACTCAGATAGTTATCCATGTTGAATCTTTCGACGGGTCTCCAATGTTTTGTTCTATAACAAAACATCCGCGTGTCATTTAAATGTCACCACACTTTAACTTGTGAGATCAGCTACTTACTTCACAAGTAAGAAATGCCACACGTGATAGTCTATCCGTAATAACGATATCCGTATCTCGTTATTACTTACGATCATGGACGATTTAAGACTCAATCAGATGTAATTTGTATCTCACAATCACAACTCCATGTGATTAACAAATTACGAAAATTTTAATCTACAGACTCTATTATTTATTTAATTGTCTATTAATTAAATAATAGATCTACCATTTAATTGCATTAATTATATATAAAAGTATTTATATCCAAAGTTGATTGAACCTAGGGCATAATACTTACAGTATCTGCTTCAGGGAATAATTTGTTTTCAATTTTCCATTTGGGTTTTGAAGTTTTTCCCCCTTTGATTAATGCTCTACAGGAAGCGAGGGTGATTCGTTTAATTCAAAAATGACGATTTTTGTACAAGTTATGGGTAACCGGTGGATGTTTTACCGTGGCTATTTATGCATTTGTTCAAATCGAATTGAACTATTAATGGATTTATATGGAAAATGTTTTGCTTTCTGTTACAATGGCAGTTTTGAAATGGCCTGATAAATTGGCTGCGTACACAATGTTTGAGATGCAAACATACTTAACAGATGTATGGAAACTAAGTTCTACTCATGCTAATGGAATTTTGAACATTTGGAATGGAGTTACTATGGTATTGCCAATTGGGTTTCTCTACCTCGTCGACACGTTTCTGGGAAACTTCTTAATGCTTCTACTGTCCAGTATAGCCTACAGTGTGGTCAGTTAATTCTTCTATCTTCTCAATCCTACTGTCCAATCTGTTTGGGGATATTGGAGGTAATTTTTGAGTCAACATAGAAATTAAGAAATTAATACTTTAGTCATCTTTGAGCTTAATAGCTCGTTCTTTCTCTCTTGTATTGTTATTTTGAAGAGATATAAGTATGTTCAAGTTTTGTGGTTGAAAGCATGTTATCTGAGCCTTGGAATTGGAACTTAAAAAAAAAGTGTTTTCCCCACCGATTGTGTAAATAACTAATAGGTGATAGAGATGGGAAATATTAGATTTTGTTATAAAATGAGAGGAAAAGAGAATAGAGAAAACTCAATAAACTTTTGTGTTTATTATTGAAAACCAAAGCCCTATATTTATAGGTAAGAATCAGGGATACAATGGTAATAATTTCTAGGGCTACAGGGGTACAAATGACATTCACCAATAAACTTTAATGGACTTTTCATTTACAACACTCCCCTTAAATGACATATTACAAAATATATGCCTCGTTAAAACCTTGTTTGATAAAAATTCAATGGGAAAAAAAATCAAACGAAGGAAAAAGAGTACAGTTATTTTGGAGTATTAAAATTAAATGCTACCTCATTAAAACCTTGCTAGGAAAACCCAATGAGACAAAACCTAAGCGAAGGAAAAAGAGTACAGCTACTCCCTCTGATGTTGATCACTGAAAATCTTTGAGTCGACGCATTCTAATCTCATGAACTAATTTCTTGAATGTAGATGTTGGCAGCGCTTTTGTGAATAGATCAGCCACATCGTCACTTGAGCGAATTTGTTGAATATCAATGTCACAATTCTTCTGAAATTCTTGTGTATGAAAGAATTTTGGAGAAATATGTTTCGTCATATCGCCTTTGATATAGCCTCCCTTGAATTGTGCGATACAAGCTGCATTATCTTCAAAAAAAATTGTTGGACTATATTTTGTTGAAGTCAATCCACATGATGATTGGATATGATGGATCATATTCCTCAACCATACACATTCTCGCCCTGCTTCATGGATTGCAATAATCTCAGAATGATTTGAGGATGTTGCTGTCAAAGATTGCTTCACAGATCTCCATGATATAGCTGTTCCTCCACGTGTAAACACATATCCTGTTTGTGATTTAACTTTATGTGAATCGGAGAGATAACCTGTATCTGCATATCCCACTAAAGCAGATCCTGACTTTTGAGAATAAAACAATTCCATATCAATAGTACCTTTTAGGTAACGAAAAATATGTTTAACATCAGTCCAATACCTTTGAGTTGGTGTAGAGCTATATCTTGCAATGATATTTACAAAAAAAATATGTCAGGTCGAGTACAATTTGCAAGATAAGTTAATGCTCCAATTATATTAAGGTATGATACTTCAGGACCAAGAATCTTTTCTCCATCTTCAAGTAGACGAAATGGATCTTTTTTTACATCAAGTGATCGAACAACGATAGGTGATGACAATCGATGTGCATTATCCATATAAAAGCGTTTCAAGACTTTTTCTGTATAAATAGATTGATGAACAAATAATCCCTCTGAAAAATGTTCAATTTGTAATCCAAGACAAAATTTGGTTTTCCCCAAATTTTCATCTCAAATTCATTTCTCAAATAATCTACAGTTTTGTTGAACTCTTCAGGATTTCCAAGTAAATTTAAATCATTGACATAAACTGCCACAATTGTAAATTCAATATTTGTTTTCTTTATGAAAACATATGGGCAGATATCGTCATTTTTATAACACTCTTTCAACAAATATTCGCTAAGGCGATTATACCACATGCGTCCGGATCGTTTCAATCCATATAATGATTTTTGCAATTTAATTGAGAACATAGTTCTCAGACATGTATCATTCATTCCTGGCACCTTAAATCCTTCAGGGACTTTCATATATATGTCACTATCAAGTGAACCATGTAGGTAGGCAGTTACTACATCCATAAGGCGCGTATCGAGCCCTTGTGACACGGTCAAACTAATTAAGAACCTAATGGTATCCATTACGGGAGAATATGTTTCCTCATATCAATTCCCGGTCTTTGGGAGAAACCTTGAGCCACTAGTCAGGCTTTGTATCTTGTAATTTCATTATTCTCATTTCTCTTTTGTACAAAAATCCATTTGTATCCAACAGGGATTACATTTTCAAGTGTTCGAACTACTTGTTCAAACACTTTTCGTTTCTCCAAAGAATTCAATTCTACCTGTATGGCTTATTTCCATTTTGGCCAATTAGTTCTCGAACATGTATCATTTATTCCTGGCACCTTAATCTTTCAGGGACTTTCATATATATGTCACTGTCAAGTGAACCATATATGTAGGCAGTTACTACATCCATAAGGCACATATCGAGCCCTTGTGACACGATCAAACTAATTAAGAACCTAAAAGTGATGGTATCCATTACGGGAGAATATGTTTCCTCATAATCAATTTCCGGTCTTTGGGAGAAACCTTGAGCCACTAGTCGGGCTTTGTATCTTGTAATTTCATTTCTCTTTCGTACAAAAACCCATTTGTATCCAACAGGGTTTACATTTTCAGGTGTTCGAACTACAAGTCCAAACAATTTTCGTTTCTCCAAAGAATTCAATTCTGCCTGTATAGTTTTTTTCCATTTTGGCCAATCATTTCTATTTCGACAGTCATTAACAGACT